GTTTTCCACAACTAAGGTAGGTTCCGAGGACATGGGACTGTCAGTACTAAAACACAGAAAGTTCCAGGAAAACTGAGACACTTTTGTTCTTGCATGGTCTTGCATAATTTACTTAATTCCTCTGCTCTTTGTTTAAGTACTGGTGAGACCCTCTATAGAGTCTTTTACATTATTTCCTTTAACTCTCTATATCTTCCTATGCTATTTCATTTGTCTTAACGGTTTTTACTGCTCACAAATAAAGTAAATTGCTCACAAACTAGTATATCTCATCTAAGTGTCTCCTGAGGTTAAACTATGAATAGCCAACTATCTTCTGGGTATTTTGATTGGCCGCTAATACACAAGTCTAATGCTAAATCAGAACTTGTTTGTTTTTTTAATTGGGTGACACTGGTTAACAAAATTATACAGGTTTCAGGTGCATAATTCTACAACACATCATCTGTATACCCTATTGTGTGTTCACAACCCCAAGTTGAGTCTCTTTCCATCACCATTTATCACCCCTATGCCTTCCTCCACCTCCCTCCATCCTCCCACCCACAACAATCACCACACTGTTGTCTGTGTCCATGAGTTTTTTCTCCTTTTTTTTCTTTTTAGTTCAATCCCTTCACTCCCATCTGTACCGCCCCCCCCAACTGTCAGTCTGCTTTCTACCTATGAGTCTGTCTCTATTTTGCTTGTTAGTTCATTAGATTCCACATATGAGTAAAATCATATGGTATTTGTCTTTCTCTGACTGGCTTATATCACTTAGCATAATGCTAGTATATAAATTAATTATCTTTTAATTTTATCACATCCACTTAATCTCTTGAGCTAAAGTGAGTTATTTCTTCTCCTCTTTGCTTTATTATCACATCTAATAAACCACTGTACTCTAATTATACTACCTGCGAAACTTTCTCAAATCCACTCTACCTCCTACCTCTCCTACTTATTCCCACGAACATCCGTGACTGATGAGTAGACAAGTGTTTCTCAGGCTTTAAATAAGTCCATGGTGACTTTGAAAAACACAAAAAAAACCCATCATGTTATGTCAAATTTCAAAATACAGTATTAAAAGTAAAGTCATGTGTTACTCATTTTCTCCCAATTCCACAGAGTCCTATTCTTCAGAGATTCTGATGCAGTACCTTCTACTTCCAGTCTTCTTTCTTCCTCTCTCTCTTTCACACACTCCACCTACACTCACCCCCAAACACACATGGACTCCCATTCCACACACAACCACATACACACAGACACACACACACAGGCAGACACACTCATATGCTCCAGCCTTGAGTACACACTTTACATTACACCAGCACAACCTGATATTTTGGGCCTCAGGGCAACTGTTTTCTCCTTCTGGAACCCTGTATCCCAAACCTGCCTACTTCCTGAACTATTCATCCTTCAAATTTCATATTAACTATTGAAGGGTCTATGAATACTTCCCTGACCACACCAACCTCAAACAGAATAAACCGTTTTCTCTTTTTTTAACATACTTCTATGGTTGCACTTATCATATAGCATTATAATTTATTTGATTACATAACTGTTGTCCTCAATTTGAGAGGGAATTCTTAAGATGGGAATTCTATCTTATTTATCTATGCATAGTATACCTGAGAAATACCAGGCATAAGACTTAATTTGTTCAACTCCACTAATATTTTTTTATATATTTATTACTTTAAGTGATGACAACGTATGCAGCATGTTTAAAATATGACTGAATGACATTTTAATAATAACTAAAAAATAATCTTTGGATGTATTAAATACAGTCATCAAAAATATAAATTATATTGACATGTTTTTCCATCAATCTAGACTTGCAAAATAGAATGTACCAAGTAACACAAATACAGTCCCCCTACTTCCTGTCTACTTACCAGTCTCTCTTTCCCTACTCAGTCAATTGTTTTTGAAAAAGGCATGTGCAATCCCAGTCTACTTTTCCTAACTTATCATTTCCTCCTCACACCCACAGAAATAGAGTATTTCCACCCACTTATACAGAAGTAGGTTTGCAGTTGTGAGTATGTGAAACACAGAGTTTATTCTTGTATTATTATTAATTAATTATTATATTCTTTATGTGTGTTATACCTGTAAACCTAGTTTTGCTCACCCCTGTATATTAAAACTGCTATGATAAATGCCCCCCTTGATTTCTATTTGGCCAAACCCAAAAGACATTTTTAATCTCTCAAGTTGTTGACTAATTTTCTGCTTCACTTGATACTATTGGGGTTTTCCCCTTGTATTCCTCTGCTACCTCAGCTCTGGTTGTCCAAGAACCAGAGTTTAAGTTTTAGTTCTCATTTGAGTTGGGGGGTCCTCTTCCTTTACCCATCCTTAAGCATTATTTTTAGCTAGGACTCTCTCTGGTATTTATTTTTTCTAATTATGTATCCATTGGTGACACAATCTACTTTCCCAGTTAACTGAGTGCTTCAGTTTTATATCCCCAACTACTTCTAGGAAGTATACCCTTGGATAAAGCACAGGTACCACAACATCATCATATCAAAATCTGAACTACTCACCACTCACCCACCCCTGGGCCTGGTTTGATTCTTTTATTCTCTCTGGTAATGATACTTAATCACCCAAACCAATGATATGATAATCCCCCAAACATTTTGTTTAAAACCCATATGGAGCTGACAATCACCCACTGCCCTTTTACCTTCTCACTCATCTCTTGAAATGCTTGCTTCTCACACTCTCTGCTACTCCTCTAGGCCAAGACCTTATCATATTTCTCTGGACTATTACAACAGTCTATTAACTGATTTGTTTATCTCTAGTTTTTCCCACATCACATTCATATGCCATTTTCCCCACCTCTGTCAAAGTAATACATATTTTACATATAAATAGAATAAATATCTGACTAAGCCACTCTCCTAATTAAAACCCATTGCCAAAACCTTGTAAATAAATATAGTATTTATTTATATTTTGACCCAGTTATCATATACAGAGATCTAAATTTATCATACCAATACCAATCTGAAATGCATTTTTATTTCCTCATCTATTCCATTAAAAATAAACAAAAAACTAGCCTCTACTGATTTTCAGACTCACTAAAAGATTATGACTTATATATTTAAAAACACTGATCTACAAGCTTGAGCCCATGCTTAATCACCTCTACACTCAATTTATTGTTGTCCTTTCCTATCAACCTAGAAAGGCACATATGTGACACACACCACTGTCTAAAGAGAATCAGTAGAAATAAGGAATGAGCTGCAAATTTTTAATTCTTCAAGTCACCTAAAGAGAGGTGTACTATTTTACTTAGAAAAGTATAGAGCGAGCAAAGGGATTGTAGAAAAGAGAACCCAAAGAAACTATTTACGCTCAGCAACTATACTCAGAGGGGCCACCAGGAAAGTTTCACTAAGTACAAGGTAAGTTACAATGGATTTCCACAACTATAAATCTATGGAAAATAAAATCAAAATAAGGAAAAAAATCTAAAATATTGTTGGGAGGGATATCAAATGGTTTTTGAATGAGTGGGACCAATTTAAATGAAACCTCAATAAGTGGAAAATATTTTTAAATAAATGTGAATTCCTCAAAATGCTTTCCCAGAAATTGCTTGATTCCTAATATAAGAAAAATATTTTCTGCAACCTGGAGCATAAGGTAGAAAGTGAGGATCATAAGTTTTCCATCATCAGGAAAATGGCTTTACAGTAAGAACATTTATAGAAGAAAAAATGGCAACATGATTAAGAGTACTTCAAGCTTTGTATTTTTTTCCAATGTGATCATAAGTCATTTTTACTAGGATCAAATCAAAATTATTTCGATTCCTTAAAAAGTACTGGTTAAATGTAGAATGATATTCAAGTACACTTTTTGAGATAAAATCTATAACCCACCAATGAAGCCTCTTGAAATTTATTTAACAAAATGTTATATCCTAAAGTATAAATAATTTTAAACTATTTGTGACTATATGTAATATACAAAAAATAAGCATTTACACCTTTATTTAATTTAGGTCTTTGCTAATGTTAATAAAAATTTGTTGTCATAGCAAAAGTATTACAAAAATTTACCTCCCATTGTTTTTTGTGGGTTTTTTTTTTTTTTTTTTTTTTACAATTTTATCACTTTATTTTGGTCTTGCTTCGAAGAACTTTCAGATAGCTAAAAAATCTACTTAAAAGTAACTCTTAAGACACATTTCTTCAAAAGCTTTTGCTAAAAACCTTGGAAGGAGGCATTTCCCTAGTTATAACTACTTGGTTATGATAATAATTATGTCGAGTATTGCTACTGCTGAGACATTTTAAGGGCGGGTTTAATTTTTTCTACCAGGAGCATAATTCTTCTCAAAAGACTGAATACATCATGCTAATCTGCAGAATTTTAAAGCTCTTTACATTTGATCACATCAAAATCTGCATTCATAACCCAGTTTACTTATTTGGCTTCTTCTCTACTTCCTTCTTCAGTTGGTCACTTAACTCTTCAGTAGTATCTACACTTGATGTTGCAATTATAAAGATAAAACTAGTTGGGCAATCCACTCTTTCAGATTGCCCATTACCTTTAAACAACTGGTGTGAAGGTGGCTAATGGACTGCCTATGCATTTCCCTTTTTCACGCGTGCCACCCCATCTGTCCCCTGCCTCCGACTTTCCCAGAGTTCTAGTTTCTAGTCCACATGCATTCCACATCCAAAAGGTATAGAATTTCTGCCACCCTAGAGCTCCCAGAATGTGTCTGTTTTCTCAAGTTTTATGCTTCTAATGTGGCATTAGAAACGTCACTTAACAAAGATACTTAATACAGAGTTCATGTTTGCAGATAAATTTATCTAACTCAATAGTAGCCTTTTTATTACACATACAACAGAGTAGCCAGAATATCTATGCCCACATGCAGTGTGAATTAATAAATCCTGTAACCAGAGGTCTGTGTAAGAGAGGACATTTTCAGTCAATAAAACCAATGCCATACTCACGGTGAAGGTTGGTGGGGCTGGTTTTCAGCATTTCTTGGTGTTTTGCAGGCAGCAGGCTTCGCCATGTCCCTGACAACACACCTGGGGCGCATGATAGACAGCACAACGCACTATTAATTATAAAAAGGGTAGAACAAATCTGGAAATTAAACACGGTACTAAAAACACAGTCTAGGGGGAAATCTTTGCAAGCCCCTTAAATAACCTGAGGCCCTGGAAAAGCCCTTAGTGCTGGAAATCTTTGACTCCAAGAGCTCAATTATACCCAAATAAAATATGTGCTAGCCTCTGTATTTGACTTTCCTTTTAGCACCAATAAAATGATGGTCAGCAGCTCTCCCCATAGAAGAGAGGCCACTGAAAGCTATGGCCTCACCATATGATGACATCTGAAAGCTTTAAAAATAGGAACAGCTGTTGTGTTGATATGTTAAACGATGAGCAGGATTTTCTGTAGCTTTGGCTATTTTACTAAGACTCCTGTCTCATACCATTCATCACAACACAGGTCTTTCCTCTTAATGCAGAAAGAGACCTGAGAGGCCTCTAGACAGCCTCATGTTCAAAATCCCATTCAAACTAAGGAAAGAGTTAGAAGAAAATATTCATATATACAGTATGAGTGTGCCTATGTGTGTAAAATAAATAGAGAAGATATACGCACAATGTGAGAAAGTAGTACAAGGTCTTTGTGGCTTAAGTCCTCCATCACAGGATAAATAAATGCAGAGGGTAGACGATGTAACAGAGCTGCAAAGGGCAGCAGGAGACACACTCTCACCCTCATGTCAAGAGGGCTTACAGACCATCAGAGAGATTCCCTGGCAGAAACCAGAAAACACCCCATCTGAGGCTGTACCTAGACAGCTCAAATATTCTCCTCACCTCAAAAGCTTAAAAACGAACATTGCTTTATATAGGGAAGCCTTGGTTATAAAGCTGAGACCCCCACATCTTACACTTTGCTAAGGGACCCAGGATTCTCAAACATAAATCTGATTTTTAAACTTCCATGGAGTTTTCTTGGAGGTTTGACTACACTACTTATACTTAAGGCCAGTCGTGTTATTCCAGAGGTGGATTCTTGGTGCGGTAGTGGCAGATCAACTTTTCCCAGAGCTAAAAGCTGCATGGCTAAATTCTCCACTTCTGAAAGAATGATACAGGGACACAGGGACACAACGCACAGAAACGTGCACACATACACACTGCTCATTCCAAACAAGGTCAAGTAAGCCTTAAAAACTGGTATGTAACAATGTGACAAAAAAAAACCAAAAACAGTGCCATTTCAAAGCCTCAACACATGTCCCTTCTGGGGCAATGTAAAAAAAAGTGACTTCTCAAGTGCTAATGCTAAACTCTTAAGGGAATGGTCAATCCCTCAGGAACCACAAGGACTTCAGTTTCATTCCAGGTTCATGGGAAGAGATGGCCACCCAGGCTGCAGGGTTAAGAGAGCATGTAAGGTAGCAGTTGTTAGGGAGAAGTAATATCCTAGAATTTCTGAACTCTGCAATTTTAAATCTAACTTATACAGAGTACAATGCCCAGGAAGTTAAATTTCATAGCACTGGAAAATCTTTAGCAATTCTCACCCAACTAAAAATAGCACATACAGCATGTTTAATCTACATGTACTGGTTTGTGAAAATATCGGAAATATCACCCACTTTAGAAAAAAATTTCAAGAACTATATCTGAGAAACCATATGCAACCTTCTTAGTTCATTTCTTTTTTTTTCCTCTCCTAAAGTATCAGGTATTTAATAACAAAGCTTTGAAATAAATCTGCTATTTAATTAGTTTTCCTTAAATATGCTCTTAAGTGAATTTTTTTAAAAGCAGGACAACATATATTTTTCATACTAACATATATCCTGACCACAAAACTATGAAATAGCCAACTACTGAATCTGAGTTTTTAGGGGGAATCTGAGTTTTCCAAGTTGCCAATTATTCAACCAATTTAAGGGGGCTCTAAACTATGCTAATATATATTCTAATATATATTCCGACATTTTCTAATTTGAGTTATTTTAGCTGAAATCTTTCACGATATGAGAAAGCCCTATACTCAGATAGATACAAAGACACATAAAGAGACATAATATACTCATAAGGTGTTTGTTAGCCTGAGTAGATGAACACATCTCTAAAATGAAAATTGATTGTTGTGTCTGGCATATCACAGTTTGGAGGGATAAAATGTAATAGTTTTGACAGTTCTAATGTATAGAAATTGTTTAGCCCCAGCACTTTCAAGTATCTCCCGTGCATTAAAGTTATTATAATAAGATAGACCCTACATACTCTAAGAAACACAACTATGATATTTCAGTAAGTGTGGACATTAGGGATCTTTCTCTACATATGATTTATTCATTCTGCCAGACAGAAGGAGGCCACAAATAATGCCACAATGCTGACTTCCCAGACTAGGAGTTCAAGGATGTTAACCTCTTACTCTTTACAAAGACTTTAATTACTCAGGGATTTATCAGACATGGACTCTTACCAGTCTTCAAACTGCATGTGAACATTCCCTCATCACTCAAGCATCAAGGAAGATTTATGCAAATGAGACATTCAGCTACCACCTCAGGGGAAGGCTCCAGTCTCCGCCCTCAGCGCTGCAGGGTTTTATGAATGACTGCAATCAATGCAATGAATGGCTGCCAACTACCCACTCAGTCACTTTTACTCTTCCGTGCACTTACACACAGGAGAAACAAGTATTGCACGAGCCTGCCAATGAGGCTATAGTAAGGCTTTCATCTCACCAAACAGGAACTAAGTGTGCTTCCAGATACAGTATGTAAATTAAAAATCCTAAAGCCCTCCCAAAAATTACAATTTGCATAATTACTTTCTTTCTTTTGACTTTCCATTTTGGTGCCTGCAATCACTAGCACCCCCACCAGCAAAAATGTAAAAAATAAAAAATCCCACTAATTTATGAAACCTTATCTCAACTTGAACTTTATCAAAATTGTTTTATCTTTCATGATTAATGCCAGGAAACTAGTTTCTGTGCACTAAAGTTGCCAAATAGATTGTGACAGGTTTACATTTCTGTTCTCAATCCTTTGGTTTTAGAATTTTACCGAATTTCTCCTATCATCAATGGAGACAACAATTACATCCTATTAGTGCTAAGAGAAAAGCTTACTCCCCAAATGTTATTGTGCTAGTCTGCATTTGTCATAAGAGGCAGCTAAAGCAACATAAGGTTAACAGAATGAAACATTCTTTTAAATACACAATCTTCTGATTGTTGCCCACTGATTAAAAATACATAGAAAAAAGAAAATACTTAGACAAGAAGAGAGCTCATGGGCGTTAGAGCCGGCCACTTCTAAATCTCCACATGTCATTAGCCAAAAGTACCTATACATGCAAAAGTCCTATCTCCACTTCATTTCCCACATAACTCCAGACATCTAACAGCCTCCTCAATATTTTCACTTGAATTTCTAATGGGCTTCTCAAAATCAGTATTTCCAAAATGGAATTCTTCATCTTTCCCACACACCCCTAACCCTTCCCCCACCCCCAAATCTTCCAGCAGTCATCTCCATCTTGGCTAAACTGAAAATACATTTCTCTATCTGTTCAGGCTAAAACCTTTAGACTTGGCTCCTCTTTTCTTTCACACCTGTGTCTGTCCAATACACCAGATTGGTTCTACTTTCAAACCATGCACCAAATCTGACCATTCCTCATCTCCACTATCACCATGCTGTTCTGAGCCAATATCACCTTTTACTTGGATCTCCACAACAGATTTTAACTGGTAGCCGGACATTTACTTTTGTCCTTCTCCAGGAGTTGGAGAAGGACAAAAGTAAATGTCCTTCAACACATCAGCCAAACTGACTCTTGAAAGAGAAATCAGACCATGACTTCAAAATCTTGCACTGGCTTCCCTCCCTGCTTCCCCTCTGTTCCCAATACACCAGCCTCCATGCTGGTCTTTCTCAGACATTCCAGGTGCGATCTTATGTGGGGGCCTTTGCACCAATCCTTCTTTCTGGTGGAATGCTCTTCCCTGATTTGTATGACAAACCAGGTTTGCCCCTTTCAAGTCTTTGTTCACAGGTCAGTCTTTGATGGTTCCTACTTTGATCATCCTACTTACTACTTACTACTGTTCTCTACTTCCCCCTCACCACCATATCCACACACTTCCAATACCCTTTAGCTTGTTCTGCTACTTACAAAAATGCGCTCCCTCCTGCTGCTGAAATATGAGCTGTTCAAGAGTAACTTCAAGAGCCTAGAACAGTGCCTGACATAATAGTCACTAAATATTTGTTAAATGAGTGAATAAGATAAAAAAGCCAAAAGCTGTAGATTTCAAGCTTGAGTAACTAATTTTACATGCTAAGACTTAATGATTTAGAAAAATTATAGGTAATACCTTTTTGTAAGATTACAGCATATTTTTATAAAATATTTACAAACTATAAATTAATTCATGGCCAATAAGTTTTGTGTAACTCAGCTAAATTTGTTGTGTATTGTTTGACTAAGGTTCTGAACAAGAAAAAAATGTATTTGTCAGCATATGACTACTTTAGTGGAAAACACTTTTTAATGCCAAGTAATTGCTTTGAACCAGTGAGAAATTATTTTAACATCTGTACTGATAGTTTACCAAATAAAATTTTAAAATAATTGTAAATAAAGCAATTTCTAACAGTAAAATCAGAAAAATCAATTTCCTTTTACTTCTGATTTTTCTAAATAGGGTAGGAAAATAAGAACTTCTGTTTATTAACACTTACTTTGTACCAAAATGTACACAGAATATTTCATTTAATGTTCACCATTACCTACAAGGAGATATGATTGTCCCACTTGACAGATGAAGAAACAGTAGATATAAGATATTACATTATCTTTCCAATGATAAATGGCAAATGTTGATATTTTAGGAAGCCAAGATTCATATCAAGGGTCTGTTTGGCATCAAAATAATGTCCTTTCCATCATTACAAAATACCTCCTGCCATTAATACTTGAAAAATGAATTAAAAGTAATAAAAATCAATCATGAAGTTACAGAATCCAGTATC